CATAAATAAATAAACATTTTAAAAAATTAAAAAAAAAGATTTGATTTGTATGAGAATGCTCATAGTAGCTTGTAAGAGAATGTTCAAATAGATCTAACCTGGAAATACCCCAAAAGTAAATCAACATGTGAATGGGTAAATAAGTTGTGGCATCTTCATACAATAGAATACCACTCAGTAAGAAAATGGAACAAACTATTAACATGTTATACTTATAATGTGGATGAGTCCCCCAAACAGATGCTGAGAGTAGCCAGACCCCAATGATTATACTTACATGACATTCCAGATTAAACTAATCATGGTGAAAGAAATAAGAACAGTGATTGTCTCTGCGTGTGGACTTAACTGGGAAGGACGTGAAGGAACTTTCTGGGGTTTTGGAAATGTTTTATATTTTATTTTATTTTATTAATTAATTAATTTATTTTCAATTATTATTGGTTTTTTTTATGTTTATTTTTGCAAGAGACAGAGTGCGAGCAGGGGAGGAGCAGAGAGAGAGAGGGAGACACAGAATCCAAAGTAGCCTCCAGACTCCGAATGGTCATCACAGAGCCTGCCGTGGGGCTGGAGTTCACGAACTGTGAGATCATGACCTGAGCCAAAGTCGGCTGCTTAACTGACGGAGCCTCCCAGGCGCCCTGGAAATGTTCTATATTTTAAAAGAAATGGTGAGTGCATTTGTCAAAACTCAGTGAATTATATATAACTTGTTAAGATCTGTGCAATTATAACTCAAAATAAAAATTAAAAGACAAAAAACTTAATGCATGTAAAGAATTTACTACAAAGGCTAGCAAATATTAACATTTAATGAGAATTATCTCCTATTATCAAAAATTTTAAGTTATATACTTCTAAGTAAGAGAAAAAGAAACATGTCTTTTCAGATGATATTTGCACTTGCCTATTTGCACTCCAGCATAATTACATTTAAAGTAACATAGCTGGGTGCCTGGGTGGCTCAGTCGGTTGGGTTGCTGACTCTCGATTTCATCTTAGGTCATGATCTCATAGTTGGGTTGGTGAGATCAAGCCCCGCATCCGGCTCTGTGCCGACAGCGTGGAGCCTGCTTGGGATTCTCTCTCTCCCTCTTTCTGCCCCTCGACTGCTTGCACATGAGCGTGTGTGCTTTCTCTCTCTCTCTCTCAAAATAAATAAACATTTTGAAAAAATTAATCTCGGTTCACATTTTTGTGATATGGCCAACTGAGAGTATGTTCTTCAGTTTATTTTGATACTTGCTTTTCTCAACCTTTTCTTTTTTTTTTTTTTTAATTTTAACTTGGAGGAAAGGTGCAAGAGTAATACAATGAACCTTGGTATATACCCTTCCTTCACCCACATTCCTGGATGTTCCTATTTTGCTGTGTTTGTTTTATATTAATATATATATTATATTTATATATATTTGTATATATTTATATTTATCTTTCTCAAGGAAGCAGCAAAGTCCAATCTAGGCATTCTGGTTCTAGAGTCCAGGCTTGTAGAGGGGCTAAGAGAGACTGAGTGGCTTGTCCAACTCATGGGGCTACTAAATGCAGTACCAGGGACTTGAACCCAGGTCCACTGGCCGCAGAGTAATTTCTATTCCATTGCGCCATGTTTCTAGGGGCCTTACGTGCTGATTTCTTGTCTACCAAGCACCAAACACCTGGTCTGGAGAGCAAGGGCTGTAACCACCATCCTTCCTGCTCACAGACTTTCAGTGGTTCCCTGGTGCTCACTGGGGCAAACCCAGACTCTTGGCCTGACATTTGAGGTCCTCAGAGACTGGGCTGCCCTTCTATCAACGCATTCTCGGCTTGCCTCGTGCATTCATCTCTCTAACTAGATGAACTAACTTGTTGCTTCTCATCCACCCTTAGTGCAGGGGTCAGACCTGGCACCCAGGGCCACATGTAGCCCTGGGGCATGTTCCTCTGACAAACACAGCATTTCGTGTTTTTATGTTTAGTATTAGTACGGGATCATGGTTTCTTCCCCTCCCTCCGAAGTATTATAATTCATCAGTATCATTACTTATTTTGATGTTCAGATTGTCCCAGATTTGGACAATAGGAACCTAGTCTTATTAATATTCTGTTTCTGGTAAGGAGACTATACATTCCTTGAGGCAGGGGCTGTGTCCATCTTGTTCATAGTCATGCCCCTGAAATCTTAACATCAAACCCGGCATTCAATGAAAATTTCCATCAGAAACAAATACTGTTGGGACGCCTGGCTGGCTCAGTCAGTAGAGCCTGGGACTCTTGAGCTCAGAGTCATGAGTTCGAGCCCCACTTTGGATGTGGAGCCTTGCTTAAAAAACAAACACACGAATACTGTTGAACCTCCTATTTTGTGTGGGGTAGTATATGTATGGGGGATAGTGTTGATATAATTGTGAGAAAAACAGGTATAGTTATGTCCTCATGGAGCTTACTTTTTTTGGGGGGGGAGATATTAATAAAAATCATGTAATATGTATTTGTAGAATGATTTAAAAAACAAATGATCGATAGTTGCATCATTGTCTCCTGTTGACTTTATACATATACACATACCTTTAGAACATATATAATATTGGTTGATGTCTTGTATTCCATTTCGGGGGATGTCTTTCGTTTTTCATTACACAAAATGTACTGCAGAGTAAGGTAGGTTTACATGATCTTTTTTTTTTTTTTATTTTTTTTTCAACGTTTTTTATTTATTTTTGGGACAGAGAGAGACAGAGCATGAACGGGGGAGGGGCAGAGAGAGAGGGAGACACAGAATCGGAAACAGGCTCCAGGCTCTGAGCCATCAGCCCAGAGCCTGACGCGGGGCTCGAACTCACAGACCGCGAGATCGTGACCTGGCTGAAGTCGGACGCTTAACCGACTGCGCCACCCAGGCGCCCCTACATGATCTTTTTTAAGCGATACATAGTATTCATTAGGATGGATACTTCATTTCCCTATTGATGGGCATTTAGCATGTTTTTGGTTTTTGCTTTTGCAATACAAACAAGGATGCAACAGGTCTGTGTACTTCTGCTTGCTTCTCTGGTAGATTCCAATAAATCAAATTGCTGGGTCATAGGGTTGCTTTACTTTTCTGTTCTAAACACTTCTGTATCATTGAAATTCATGCATTATTTTTTTGCGATAAAAAAGTAAAAAATAGAAAGAAGTAGGTAGATTTTTCGTGTTGTTGGCTCTGAGGAAGTAGAGGTGCCTAATCATTGTCACATGTCTATTATATAATCTGCTAATCGTTATGTAATGAAATCTGAAAAGGATGCTTCTATCATTCCACATCACCAAGCAGAGAAATCTCAGGCCTTCAACCCTGTCTAAAAGATGAGAAACATGACTCCCTTGGGGAGACTTTGGGTCCTTTCTGATATAAAATGTCACTGCATCTCAATGACCAGGGTTTCCTACTAGTAAAGCCTCCTTAAAAATCTGTTTCCCTTTTGGCTGCCCCAGAACCACAGAGCTGTAAGGGACTTCTTAGCCACCATTGTGCAGTCTTGTAACAGTTTCCAAAGGAAAGTTTTGAGTTGTTGCAAAGGCAGAGAGTTCTGTGGGACAGTTTTTCTCACTATCACTTTGCAGACAATTAAGAGAGGAGCCTAAAGCTGAGCTGATAAAGGTTGAAGTACACAAAGACCTTGAGTGGTGTTCAGATAGCAACAGATATAGTCATCACTGCTGTTTGAATAGCGGGTTGCTGGTTCTCCAAATGTTTCCCTGTGTATTTTGTCATTGGCTCCTCTGAGACAAGACCCAGTGGCTTTAGCTGGCGACACTAAGACTGAGAGAGAGAATCCTGCAATCAAGGAACATCTGTTGGGCACATCCAGATCAGACACGTGCAGAGCTCAGGGGAAACACAGATGAGTAAGGAGCTCCAGGTTTTGTGGGGGTGTCAGGTTTAAAGTGATTCTATCTATCTATCTATCTATCTATCTATCTATCTATCTATCTACTTATCTATCTTGGGAAGGAAAGAGGTGAGGGGGGAAAAACATTTACACTGAGGGAACAGCATATAGAGGCACAGAGGCCAGAAGGGTAGAAGAGGATGATGGAGGAAGAGAACAGGGCATGGAGTGGGCTCCGAGACTTCAATAAATGTCTGGGGTTAACTTTGAGAGGCAGAATCATGGTCCAATCGCAAATATGTCTGACAAAGTCTTGGATACGTGTTAGACAATCACTAAGGATTCAGTGGAATGGTGAACCACAAAAACTGAGTCCTCGGTGAGCTCACGGTCAATATGTTTGGTGGGAGTATAGACAAGTCCAAGCCACACCATGATTGAAGCCAGTGTAGGCCATGCTGGTACTAAGGTGTTTGGTGAAAAGTCGCAAAGCAAGGAGGCAATATGAAAGTCAAGTGAAAAAGCTGAGGCTCGTATAGGCGAGGTAACTTGCCCAAGGTCACGCCCCTAGTAAGTGGCAAAGGCAAAGCTGGGAGCCCCGTTCTTAAAGACAGTCCTCTCAAGGCCGGATTCCATCTCGCGGGATCCTGGCACCTCACTTGCTCTCTTTAAGCCTCGGTATTTGTGTCTGTAAAATGGGGTGAGGACTCCAGCTGTTAGCTCCTGCTCAGGCTCAGTCGGGAGAGCTGCTCGCAGATCATCTGGACAAGGGACGAGTCCGGGAGGCGGAGGCCGGGGATCACTCAGTCCGCGCTCGCAGCTCCTAGCCTCCACCGCCCGGCTCCACACCGGTTCCCATGACAACCCGGCCAGCCACCATCCCGGGGCTGGCGTGCGTCACGTCCGGCTCGTTTGTTTCCGGGGCTAGTCCGAGCCGAGGCGGCGGCCCTGCAAGCCCCAGAGCCGGATTCCGCGACTCCTCCGCTCGTTCTTCTACCTCCCGTTTCTCCCTCCGTCGCCCGCGGCCATCGGCCTCGCTCCGGTACGACGCGCAGCCGCGGCCCAGCCTCCCTTTGCACCCGCCTCCGAGAGGCGTCACTTCCTGGCCTAGTGTTTCCGGGTCGCCGCTGGTGTCGGGGTACTGGCTTCGGCCCCTTGCAGCCGGCCGGAGCGGCGAGAGCCCAGCGGGGCCCGGCTCCGGCGGCGGCCGCGGCTCCTTCTGGATACCCTCGGCCGGGGCGTCCTTGGCGGCAGTGCCGGGTGAGTGCGGGGCGGCCGCGAGCGGAAACGGCCTCCGGCGCTTCCCAGGGCAGAGGGGGGCGCCCGATTCGGCGGGGCTCGGCCAACCCGAGAGCGGGGTCCCCTCGCGGCCGGCGGGGGCGGCAGGCGGGCCCGCCTTTTCTGCGTCCCGAGGGCCCAGCTTGTCCTCAGGATCCCCACTCCCCCGGAGACTGCCTCGCAGATTCCTGGGACCGGCCATGGGTGGCTCAGGGCAGCTCAGGAGGAACACCCCCTCTTCGGCGACTAACCAAGTAGGAGGCCACCCGACCCCACCGCGAGGCAGTTACCGCGCAGTGGTCCCCAGCCCAGTGTCTGTCAGCCGGTCTGGGTTTGTACTTATTGTGTGACCTTGGCCAAGTCATTTCATTTTCTGAGCCTCATTTGCCTAATTACTTAAATGGGAGTGAACCTGCCTGCTAGGGCCGTAGTGGGGATGAAATGAGATAATGCTTGTGAAGCAAGGTCTCTGGCATACAGTTGGCGTCCAATAAGTGATAGCTGCAGTGAATTCATTCACAAAGCCAGATGGGGCCTGAGTTTGGGACTGGGGTGTTTTTTTTTACAACTGATACGGCCCTCAGAGACTGTAGGAATTACCAGCTTGGGAATAGCAGCCGCCAGCTCCTGTCCCCAGCAGGGAGTGGAAACTGCTTCCTTCAGAGCCTCTCTGAGAGGCAGCTGCCAGTAGGGAAGCCCGTTTTCAGCAGGTTATAGCTGGTGTTATTTTCAGAGGTTTGCAAGACCTCTCTCTGAATCTCTCTGGAATCTGATTGGGGTATGGGGGCCCTCTGGTGTTTCACAGGCAGTGCAAGGTGCCTTGGATGTGTCTCAGGAACCTCGGGTTTGGAATGAGTGCAAAAGAGTGGGGTACGGAGGTGGAAGAGGTTGAATGGCTTGCTCTCCTCTTGCTGCTGTTAGGAGGCCGAGGGAACTCTGAGCTGGCTGAAGCTAGACCAGAGATCTGTAAACCTGTGGACTGGGGCAATGATGCGTCCTAAATAGCCTATGTCTGTGCAGGGAGGGGGCTCCTTCAGATGCTGCTTGGGGGATGTTTCTGCTTGAATGGGCCAGCTAAGGTAAAGCCAAGCTGATGCTTTGCTACCCCAAATCATTTCAGTTCCTTTCAGTGGGGTTTGAAACAGATACAGCTTTCCTTTGACATTATTATTTAAAAAAAAAAAAAAAAAAAACCATTAAAAAAATTATCATCGTCATGAAAAAACCACCACCTCCCTGAGCGTATATGTAACATCTTCTCTCTTCATTGAGTTGCTTTTCCAAGGGAGTCCAGATTGTGGGTGCAGGGAGTGCTGACCAGGCCTCTTGGCTCTGGGCACCCGCCTGACGCTGTTAGGGATGTTCACAGTGCCATTTGGGGGGGGGGGGGGGGGCACCAGACTGGCACGTCATGGCGCTCCAATCCTTGGGTTGCTTGGAGAAATTAACGGCTTCTGTCATTGCGCTGTCTAGTCTCCTGTAACCACGCTGTTTTTGCAGAGAGCGTGTTTTTTTGTTGTTCTTGCAGAGTGCTGGGAATAAATTGCTGGCTCTATGCTCAGAAAAGACACCAGCTATGACCAGCTACAATGCAGCCTGTATTCTCAGAAAATGTATTCAGGAGGGATGATGTCAGCTGCTTTACCACTGGCCGGTCTCTGGCCAGCCTCTTCCCTTGGCCCTTGAGCTTACATCTTAAAGAGATTTGCAGCTCTTCCAGCCCCCTTCGGTGTGGGAAGATGGGAATTTTGCTACTATAGCAATTTTTAGAACTCAAGTCTGCTTGCCCTGCCATGGGATGTTCTAACTTAGCCTAGCCCTTTCAAGTAGAGCTGTCCGGCAGGTGCAGCCCAGAAGCAGCATAGAGCTTGAGTCAGGGTTTGGGCATCGGACCTTGGTGCGGACCTCAGATCCTCCTTCTTCCTTCCCTGTGATTCAGGACAAGTGATTTGGCCTCGCTGAGCCTCAGTTTCCTCTTTAACCTTGGGGCTGTCCTGTGGCTTTCACTGATTTTCATTGAGCACTTAGCAGAGGGCCCTCATGTACTGATCCCTTAGTGAATGGTAGATTGTAGCAATAAATGAGTGGGGGAAACGGGGAAAAAACCCAGGCCTCAGGGCCTGCCAACCCAAGTTCAAATTCCAGCTCGGACCCTTGGGAGCTCTGTTGGGCTGGTTGTTTCATGGCTGAACTTTGGTATGAGGATTAAATGGGATGATGCAGGTAAAGCAGAAGACTCAGTGCTGAGTGAGTAGTAGGACCTCAGTGATGATTCATTCCCGTCTCCTTTTCTTTAATTACCTCTTAGCGTTCATTTTCTTTCACCTTTTTCCTCACCTACCTAGGTTGACTCAAGATTCATCATAGATGGGTTTCCCATCCTTGACTTGAGGATTTGGAACACCAACACCGATTGGGCTATTTGGATCCCTTTTCCTTGTTTATCGTGTGCCAGCAACAAACACGGGTGTGGACTGTGATGTGATTACAGAGCAGCAGACACTGAGCTTGAGAGTGGCTGACTTTGTAAAAAAAAAAAAAAAAAAATCAGCCTCTGTAGGCTCAGCGCTGACTTCGTCAGAGAAAAATCACAGCCGCATTTAGGAGGCTTCATGTCCCTTTGTTTACATTTTTCTCAGATGTACCAAAAAAATAGTCCCTGGGACCAGAGGCAGGATGGAAGTTTCTCTTGTAGATACAAAATAGGAAATACATACCGGTTTTTATTGGTAAGGACAGTGATGTCTTCTCTCGGCTTGCGATACGTACATTGATAGTGACCTCTTGTAAGTAGGATTGAGGGCAGGGCTGTGGCTTCCCAACTGCAGCTCCCGGGCGCCCGCCCCCCCCCCGATTATCCCCCCACTGCACCCATCCGAGGGCCTGGCACGAGATAGGTGCTGCATAAATGCTTGTTGAGCCCGCCCAGGAGCCTGGAGGTATGGGAGGAACACGGTGCCTCAAAAGGTCAGGCTTGGAATCTTGGGTCCAGTAGTTCTGGCTACTTAACAGCATGTCCTGTCATGGAGCTGACCTCCCTGGAATCTTGGGAGAGCTCAATGAGAAACTGAAGGCATGGCATCACGAATGCCTCTTTCATTTCTCCTGCTTTATCAAACACCTACTGTGTGCGAAGCTGTGTTCCAGGCACAGTGGTGAATGAAACAGATGTGGTCCTTGCCTTTGTGAAGCATGCTGGGTTACGGTGGGGGTACAAAGAGGGGAAGTTAGTAAATGAATAACGACACTTTCAGCTGGTGATTACCCCAGGATAATGGGGTAATGAGGGACTAGGGAAGTGGGAGTCACTGAGCTGGGGTTGTCAGCGAGGCCTCTGAGGGGTGACATTGGAGCTAAGGCCCAAAAAACGAATGTGAGCCAGCTACGGGGAGAATCAGAGGAAGAACATGCAGAAGGAACAACGCGGGCAAAGGCCCTGAGACAGAAGTGAGCTTTGTGTGTTTGAGGAACAACAGAAAGGTTTGTGTGGGTGGAACTTGGAAGGGGAGGACAGCTATGAGAGATGAGCAGGGGTAGACCGTGAGAAGCCTTTGGCCTTGGTCAGGAGGTAGAATTTTATCCTAATGGATTTTCATGTGCCTCCTGTGCTCCTTGGGTGTGTGTGTTCTTGAAGCACGGGGCTCCCTTGGGAGGGCAGTGGTTGGGAGAAAGTGGCCTCTCTGTCCCCAGTTCTCCTGCACATCTCACCCCTCACTTCCTGGTTAAGATCCTTGGAGCCTCCCCAAAACTGTGAAGAAGCCAGGTGAGTGGCTCATTGAGAGTGGATGATTTTATTGACCTCACGATCGTTGCCAGGTTTGTGGGCCCTTAGCACTTCCTGAGCTGAACTCAGGTCTGAAGGACTGCTGGGCCTGTCCCTCCTCACTGTAGCTTCCTTCTCAGTCCCATGTGGTCTCCACAGCCAGCAGGAGCCTCCTCCACTTAGCTAGCAGGTGTTTCTGAAGCACGTACCCTGCCCGCCTCTGGTTCTGTGCTTAGTTACCTTACTGAGTAATTCAGTCAGGGTCCTTGCACCCGTGGAGCTTGTGGTCAGGATGGGTGACTGTGAAAATGCACATCCCCCACCTGGCTGGAGCTACTTGCCCACGCTCACCTTACCTTCTTGAAAATGCTTGGCATTTTAGGGGTGCCTGGGTGGCTCAGTCGGTTAGGCGTCCAACTTTGGCTCAGGTCATGATCTCACTGTTCACGAGTTCGAGCCCTGTGTCGGGTCCTGTGTTGACAGCTCAGAACCTGGAGCCTGCTTCAGATTCTGTGTCTCCTTCTCTCTGCCCCTCCCCTGCTTTTGCTCTGTCTCTCTCTCAAGAAAAAAATAAAAGAAAACGCCTGGCATTTTGGCAGGGGTATAGCACCTTCAGATACCAGGAATAGCTGTTCGTGTTTTTCAAGGGCGTATTTTGAGCCAGCCCTCTGTGAAGACCTTTATATACTGATCATCATCCTTACACCGACTCTGAACTCTAGGTACTATGATCAACCCCCACTGTCAGATGAGAAAACAAGCCCAGAGAGGCTGAGCAATTTATCTGACTGGCCCAGAGAAGCAGATCGAGGATTCACACTTAGGCAGTCAGGCTTCTGGATCTGTTCATAGATCAGATCTGTGCTGTGCTGCCTCCTGTGGCCCCGGCAGTACCCTGGATGAATGCAGGTTTGCTCCCAGCATTGTGGCACCGACCATGCTGGTTACTCTGTGTGTGTTCTAACCAGTGGCCCCGCAGACAGCAAGTGTTCAGATTCGGGCGCCTGAGTGGCCCAGCAGTTGAGTCAGTTAACTTGATTTTGGCTCAGGTCATGAGCTTACGGTTCACGAATTCGAGCTTCGAGTCAGAACATGCTTGGGATTCTCTAACCACCGCCACCCCCCCCCCCCCGCGGGCGGCGTGCACATGTGCACTCATTTTCTCTCTCTTAAAATAAATAAATTTAAAAAAAAAGTACAAATTTGGTGTGCCCCAACTCAGAATGTTCTGTCCTGTCCATTGGAACTGTAAACCTCTCCTAAGTATAGGGGAATAAGCTATAGGTATTGGAGAACTGTAAACCTTTCCTAAGGTATCAGGCTGTCAGAGATCCTCCAGGGGGCACCAGCCAGTGTGGTCTTTCTTTAAAGTTGCAGATGTGATCCCGGCCCTCCCTGCCTTGCTTTGAGCTCTTCTGGGGCTTCACATGCCTCTTGGAATAAAATACACAGTTCTTCACACGCTCTGCTCTCTGAGCCTCGAGGCACAGGATCCTGCCCTGCTGGTGCCTGCGGCTTCATCTCTGGTCACTCCCTTCCCTCCCCCTGGCCGCTTCAGCCATCCTGGCCTTCTTTGTGTTCGCCAAGCTCCTTCCTGCCTCAGGAAAGCAGGGAGTGGTGGGTAAGGGCGTCGACCTCGGAGCCCAGCTGCCAGGGCTCTCGTCTCAGCCCTGCCTCTTGGTGGTTCTGTAACTTTGGGCACGTTCTTTACATTTCTCTGTCTTGGCTTTTGCACCTGTAAAACGGGGATCAGAGTAGTAGTGCCTGTGTCTCCTAGGGTGGTTTAAGAAGATGAAGGGCATTAGTGTGCATGAGTGCCTGGCAGCATTAGCTCAGGGCCTTCCTCCCTAGGGACGCCTCTGATGTTACATTCCCCTCCCACCTCTTGGCCTGGCAAACTCCTCATCCTTCAAGTCTAACCTTCATTGCCTGGGGTGGGGGTAGGGAGATATCTATTTATTTATTTAAATTCAAGTTAGTTAACATACAGTGTAGGAGTAGAACCCAGTTAGTGATTCCTCACTTACATATGACACCCAGTGCTCGTCCCAACAAGCGCCCTCCTTAATGCCCATCCCCCATTTAGCCCATCCCCCCCACCCACCTCCCCTCCAGCAACCGTCAGTTTGTTCTCTGTATTGAAGAGTCTCTTATGGTTTGCCTCCCTGTTTTTATTTTTCCTTCCCTTCCCCTATGTTCATCTGTTTTGGTTCTTAAATTCCACATATGAGTGAAATCATAGGATATTTGTCTTTCTCTGACTTATTTCACTTAGCATAATATGCTCTGGTTCCAGGGGGTGGGGGGGATTTTTTAAACTTTCTCCTCCTCCCTACAAAACCATGTTGGGTGCTCCTAATCACATTCTTCATTTATGAGTTCAGCAAAGTCAAGGACCTACCTGTCTTGTTTCTACCACAACTTTGCAACATAGTACGTGTTCAGTTAAATGTGTTGCATGGATGCGCAGAGAGGGGCCCGGGGCTGGTGGTGCCCAGTTGTAGCTCAGGCCAGTTCTGACTTTCGTTTTTGCCTCGGCAGCCACGAGCTGGTACGTGGACCCGTTCGAGGAATGATGTGCTTCTTGTTCTTCCCCTTCCAGAGCATGCCCCTAGTCCAGGTGGGCAACATGTCAGTGCTTTTAGCGATGTCACTGCCTCGAACCCAGAAGCCATGGAGGAGATAAGGTAGCCCCCCCGTCCCTGGATCGGATGGGGAAGCCCAGTTCAATGGATACAAAATACAAGGATGATTTATTTCGGAAGTACGTGCAGTTCCACGAGGGCAAAGTGGATGCCACCCCCAGCAAGCAGCGGCCTGGCAACGATGAGTACCTGCGGGTCGCAGCCTCGACCCTGCTCAGCCTGCACAAGGTGGATCCCTTTTATCGATTCCGGCTGATCCAGTTCTATGAGGTGGTGGAGAGCTCCCTGCGCTCGCTGAGCTCCTCCAGCCTGCGGGCTTTGGCCTGCGCCTTCAGTGTGCTGGAAACGGTCGGTGTCAACCTCTTCCTCTACCCGTGGAAGAAGGAATTCAGAAGCATCAAGGTAAGGTCTGGGGAAGGGCCGTGCATACCGGTCTCCCTTCTTGCCCCTCCCAGTCCGACCTGAGAGGGCTTGTGCCAGGTACATCCCTCCTCTGCCTGCAGACCCGTCCGGTATCTTGCCCACCGCCTTTGGTCCAACAACTAGAAGTACCCCCTTCTGTTCCCCACCTTGCGTGTCTGTCCAGTGTCCTCTCTTTACTGAGTCCCTGCCCCTGGCAACTCCCGTCTGAAGCTGTGAAGTTGGAAAGGCAGGCAGCACCCTGGTTACGCAGGACCTCCAAGCCCAGGGCAAAGGGCTTGAATTTGCCCTAAGTAGGCTGGGAGGCAAGGCAGGCCCGGATCGGGTTTACATTTGGAAAGCATTCTGTTCTATGGGAAGGAAGGAGACCAGTTAGGAGGCTGCTGCAGACGCCGGGGTCCCCTGAGAGGCGGTTCGGACTAAGTGGGAAGAGACAGGAGAGTGGAGGATGGATTTAAGAGAGCGAGAGAATTCTGAATCGTTCCGAAGGCAGCGATGGCTCAGGAGAGTTTCCACAAAGCCAGGCTTTTGTTCTTCAGAAGTCCGCAGAAATCCAGAAAGGAGTATTCTTCCTGCTCATTGGGCCTTCCGCCTCGGCTCTGATCCCCTCTCTTCACCACGTTTGCCCTGTTTCCTCAAATGGTGCAGAGCCGCGGAAGCTCGTATGGGGAGCTCGTGGCTTTGTGTCCTCCCGCTCAAGGCGGTGCCGTGCAGCTCCCCTTGCGCCGCGCGGGGGGCCCGCCTGGCTCTGGTCTGCTGGGGGGGGGGGGGGGGGGGGGGGGGGGGGGGTGACCTTCCCCCCCCCTCCCCCCCCCCCCCCCACACTTGGGTGTGCTCAGACCACGTGTGCCTCAGAGAGCAAATCCCGCCTTTTTCTGTCCCCTTCCTTCTCCTAGACCTACACGGGCCCCTTCGTTTATTATGTCAAGTCGTCGTTGCTGGAAGAGGACATCCGAGCCATTCTGCATTACATGGGCTACGTGCCCGAGTTAGGGACTGCGTACAAACTCAAAGAGCTTGTGGAGACCCTCCAGGTGAAGATGGTCTCCTTTGAGCTCTTTCTGGCCAAGGTGGAGTGTGAGCAGATGCTGGAAATCCACTCACAAGTCAAGGACAAGGGCTACTCCGAGCTAGACGTGGTGAGCGAGCGCAAGAGCAGCGCGGAGGACGTGCGGGGCTGCTCGGAGGCCCTGCGGCGCCGGGCTGAGGGCCGGGAGCACCTGACGGCCTCCATGGCCCGCGTGGCGCTGCAGAAGTCAGCCAGCGAGCGGGCGGCCAAGGACTACTACAAGCCACGGGTGACCAAGCCCTCGAGGTCGGTGGACGCCTATGACAGCTACTGGGAGAGCCGGAAGCCGCCCCTGAAGGCCTCGCTGAGCCTGCGGAAGGAGCCGGTGGCCGCAGACCTGGGCGATGGCCTCAAGGACGAGATCATCCGCCCGTCCCCCTCGCTCCTGGCCATGTCCAGCTCCGCCCACGGAAGCCCGGATGACCTGCCGCCCCCCTCGCCGAACAACGGTCTGGGCCCGCTGCGTGGCACGTACTTCTCCGCTCAGGATGACGTGGATCTGTACACGGACTCGGAGCCGAGGGCCGCGTCCCGGAGGCAGGACGCCCTGCGGCCGGACGTGTGGCTGCTCAGAAATGATGCCCACGCCCCCTACCACAAGCGCTCGCCCCCCGCCAAAGAGTCCGCCCTGTCCAAGTGCCAAAACTGCGGTCTGTCCTGCAGCTCCTCCCTCTGCCAGCGCTGCGACGGCCTGCTTGCCGGTCCCCCGGCCCCCAGGCCCGGCGCCTTCCCCAGCAAGGCCTCTGCCCACGACAGCCTGGCCCACGGGTCGTCTCTGCGGGACAAGTACGCGGGCCAGACTCAGGGCCTCGACCGGCTGCCGCACCTCCACCCAAAACCCAAGCCCTCGGCCACAGCCACCTCCCGCTGTGGCTTCTGTAACCGCCCGGGTGCCGCCAACACCTGCACCCAGTGTTCAAAAGTCTCCTGCGACACCTGTCTCGGCGCCTACCATTATGACCCCTGCTGCAAAAAGAGTGAGCTGCACAAGTTCATGCCCAACAACCAGCTGAACTACAAGTCCACCCAGCTCTCCCATCTCGTGTACAGATAGACTCGACCTTGCACCCCCCTGCTCCAAGGGCTACACCACGGACTTTCTGGGTTCCCCCAGGGAAGAAGTGTTCACGTATTGATCTCGGAAGCAGAGGCCTGCATTTGACCGTGTAGGTGTCAGGGGATCGTGGGGTCGCCCGCACCACGTGCGTTCACCTGGCGACCCAGATATTTCCTTTGATGGCTGCTTTGTCACCTGACAAGGGAGAGGGTGGCACTTCCGTTCAGATTCATTTTTGCTAATCTCTCCACTCCCTATTCCATTGTTTGTTTTTGAAGATTTCTGTCTCTGAGACTCTTGCCACACCCACCCCTCCCACTGCAAAGCCAACTTGGACTGGGAAGGGCCCTCCAGGTCCCCTCCAAACGCCCACCTGGAGCGCCGAGCTAGAGGCCTGTTGGCTTGTGAAATGAGCCCTCCTGCCACACCGGGCCTCTTCCAGTGGCTCATCCCTTGGCCACCCCCTTCCCGGACACAAGGATCCCCTCCTGGACTCCCCGCCCCTGACTTCCACCCGTCTGGGTTTCAAAGGTGGACTGAGTCCGGTATTCACCGAACGGCCTCCTGTTGCCACCACAGCTCAATTCAGCCCGTGGCGTTTGTGCACTTTGCTCCGACGCACTGAAGCGTGGACCGTCCACGGCAGGATGGACTTCTCCCCCTTTCTGTTGTTTGCACATGCCCCTCTTACTGTACTGTAAATAGATATTTTTGAGATTTATTTTTAAATAAATATTCAACTTGCCGTGTGTTTCACAGTGGTTAAAACATTGATCATGTAGCTATTTATACAAATGGCCTGGGTTCTTTAGTCTTCCAAGGGAGGGTCTCCTCCCCTTCCGTGTTGTATCCTACACACACCACAGCCCAAGGGTAGAGCAGAGAGTGTGGGGGCAGAGGAGGAACAGACGATGTCCCAGAATTGGTGGCGAGCCACTGTCTTCCCTCCAATAAATCTCTATTTACCTACCTCCAGCATACACTTAGGGGGCTAGTGCGGGCCGGGAGTTCTGTGCACCTGCGGACTGTGATACCCTAGTGACCCTTCAGGAACCTCACCCTGCGGACCTACAGCCTGGTCTTTGCCATTTGCCGCGTGTGAACCTGCACTCCGAACTTCTTGAGTCTCCTTTGAGAAGGAACGTCATTTGGGATCTCCCCGCCCCTCCATCTCAGCCTTCTTCACCTGTTTCCAGGACTCCTCTGCCACGTCAGTGATCTTTTTGCACTAAAAGTGGGCCCGAGTCAGCGTGTGCCCATCAGACGGACGTCTCCTGAGATGCTCAGCTGAGCCTAAGCGCTTCCAAACCTGAAGGCCCCTTAAACTCCTCCTGTGAATGACCCCTGGATGTTGCTTTTGGGGTGCAGAGCAGGAATGGGGCAAGAGTTTGAAACTAAAAACCGCTTCCTTGTGAACTAACATTTTAGCCATACGTGTTTGTGATGTACAGAATATAGGAATTTACGTGCAGTGGGTTTTCTGATAGAAAGGAGGTGTTCGGCTCTCGAACACATTTAGCTCTGGCTGAATCCTGAGGCCACTGTGAATTTGCTGATGTTCTTCCAATGCAGTGGAGTGATTTTAAGGTTTTCCAAATCTTCTGTGGCTCTTTTTTATATATCTAGTAGAGCACATGTAGATACTCAATGTGTATATACAGCTGAGTTTCAACACCTTTATTACTAAGACCAGCCCATTCTGGGGTCATCATCTTTGATGTTCTTCCTTCCCACGTTTCAGAAGTGTCGATGCCTGTTTTACTCCTGAGAGCTCTAGTTTTCTAGTTTTCTGTTCCCAAGATCGCTCCAGCACTACAGGAACTTTTAAGCAACTGTGAGGCCAGGTAGCTTCTACTGGTGGGCAGGAGCAGGAGTGTCCACCTCGTCCTGGGAGAGAAAGTCCGGCACACATGTCATCATGGAGATACCGTGTTTATAGACTGGAATAGGAGATCTCTGACCGTGTCCTTGGCGTGTACCTTACTGTATGAGGTTGCTGTGATTGAGATGGGTAAATACATGCTAATTTAAAAAGACAGATGTTTTGCGATTGATTTCTATCAAGAGTTGAAATGTTGAGAGATGACTCAAAAAAATAATAAAGTGTCTTCCATTATTAAACAAAGTGTTTGGAGTTTTATGTCCCTCCCTCCCTGCTGCTTTTGAAGCTTGGGCTGCTTGGATGGTTTGTTTGTTTTGCTCAAGCTGTATCCTCTGATGACAGGACTCTCATTTTCTCTCCCACAAAACTGGTAACTTGATGAGAGCCCCGCTTTCGAGTGCTTACTCTGTGAGCCAGGTGCTTTGCATGCTGACTCTTCACATGCGTGATTCCACAGAATAGTCTCCGTCATCCTGTAAACTAGGTAGTGTTACGATCCCCACCTGTAAGGTGGGGAAACTGAGGTGTGCCAAGTTCAGCCATGTTTCTTAGGAGTGGGACTACATACTCCAGGAGAAATGATTGTTGGTGGTGACTGACAGGCATTAAATAACATTGAAGGAGGGGCGCCTGGGTGGCGCAGTCGGTTGAGCGTCCGACTTCAGCCAGGTCACGATCTCGCGGTCCGTGAGTTCGAGCCCCGCGTCAGGCTCTGGGCTGATGGCTCGGAGCCTGGAGCCTGTTTCCAATTCTGTGTCTCCCTCTCTCTCTGCCCCTCCCCCATTCATGCTCTGTCTCTCTCTGTCCCAAAAATAAATAAATGTTAAAAAAAAAAAAATTAAATAAATAAATAAATAAATAAATAACATTGAAGGACATTATGAAAAAAAGTAATTACGTTTTTCTTTCAATCCGTTTAAATGCCTTAAGGAGAAAGTCCATTTAATGCTAGCTTGTCTTTACCAAAGAGGAAGCAGGTGTTAGGCTCGGAGCCTTAGGCAGAGTCTTAGCTAGGTGTTCCGTTACCTTCTGTCTGGAGCAGGCCGTACTGCTTTTCCATCTACAGCAATGACAAGAGATCACTTTAAAAATCAACTTAAGTGTTTTTCAAAAGGAGGGTTTGCAAGACACATGGCAAAGATCTTGAGGGTGGTAGAAGAGCAGCTGTGATTTGGGACATCCTGGCTTAAATTTTTTTTTTTAATGTTTGTTTATTTTTGAGGGGGGGAGGGGCAGAGAGAGAGGGAGACACAGAATCCGAAGCAGGTTCCAGGCTCTGAGCTGTCAGCACAGAGCCCGATGTGGGGCTCGAACCCACGAACCGTGAGATCATGACCTGAGACGAAGTTGGACACTTAGCTGACTGAGCCACCCAGGCACCCTGGGACATCCTGGCTTTTGGTAGCAGCAGGGTCTCTGCATGACGGTGACCACTGCCGGGTCGGCCCCTACAAGGCCCCTCAGCGGTCAGAGAATAGCAGGTTTCTCCATTTCGTGCGCCGGTGAACAAATAATCCAGGCCTCGGGCCAGACCGAGGCCCAAGAGCTGGGTTGGGTTTTAGCTGCAGCCCAGGAAATGGCACCGCCAGGAAGAGCGGCTTCCTAGAGATGCGCACCTAGCCTGGGAGAGCGGAGGAAGCCAGACACTTGCTGCTGCGCCCGGAGCAGAGTGGTGGCTTCAGAGCAGATTGCTTAATCTGTGTATGTAAACAACAAGCATGTTTAACATCATCGTGCCCGCCCGCTGCCCAGTAGCCCTGCTGCCCGCTTCGAGCACCGATCTGTGGCACCCCGCCCGCCCGATTACCAGTCTCAGAGAGAGAGAGAAGAGCTGTGGCAGACGCTTTGAGTTGAACCCCTGTCTCCTCCCACCCTTTCTCCCTTGGTAACAGAAGCCCCGATTTTTAGGCACATGGCCATCCAGGGTAAAGACTGCCTTCCCCAGCCGCTCCTGCAGCCAGGCGTGGTCATGTGGCCGTGTCTGGGCAGTGGGACGGAGAAGTGGTTCGTGTGGCTTCTCAGACATGTCTTTGAAGGATCTTTTCTTCTTCCCACCCAAGCCTCCTTCCTGGTTGGAATGGAGCGGCCCAGTGAGACTCTGAGGCGGAAGCCAAGTGATGAGAGAGGGGCGGTTGGGAGCGGCTGGGTCCCTGATGCTTAAGAAGCCGCCATCATAGCCAGCCTGCCCTGCCTACCTCCAGAGTTTTTATGTAAGAGAGGAATGAGCCATTATCTTGCTTAAACGCCACCCCCCTCCCCCGGCCCATATTCTCATTTAAGAAACCATCTTATTTACAAAAGAGGTACAAATGAACCCAGCTTCCATGATTTAACAGCTACCAACTTGTGGCCAACCTGGTTTCCTTTTTACCTGTCCATCCACTTCCCTCCTAAATTCCTTTGAAGGAAATTCCAGACATCTGCTTCAGTGGAATATTTCAGTATGTGTCTCTAAAAGACAAGGGACTTTTAAAACACCATACCATTATCACATCTAAATTTTTATAATTCTTTAATAGCGATAGGCAGTCAATGTTCTGATGTCCAGTTGTATAAATTCATATTAAAAAAATTGTTTTTTAACGTTTATTCATCTTTGAGAGACAGAGAGAGACGGAGCATGAGCGGGGAAGGGGCAGAGAGAGGGAGACCCAGAATCCGAAGCAGGCTCCAGGCTCCGAGCTGTCAGCACAGAGCCCGACGCGGGGCTCGAACTCACGAACTGTAAGATCATGACCTGAGCCGAAGTTGGACGCTTGACCGACTGAGCCACCCAGGTGCCCCTAAATTCATATTTTAAAAACAGTTTGTATCAGGGCTCAAATAAGGTCTCCACATTGCATTTCGTGGATAGACCTTTAAATCACCGTTACCCTCAAAGCTGTTCCTGTAGAGTATAGGGACCCTATCTTTCTCTTTTTTTTCCTTGAAATGTTTTTGTCAAGCTGGATTTTTAGTCCTTTAGAGTTCGCTAGAGTCTGCACTTTGCCGATTGCAGCTCCCACTGTTGTTTAACATGTTCCTCTGTTCTCTCCATCTCCAGAGTAGTTGGCTCTTTTTTTTTCTCTCTTCCTTACTGTTTATTTGCTGCACATTGCACAAAAGTAAAAAAATAAACATTTCTTATGGCTATGGAGCGGGGCTGCAGGTCCATAAATAAGGGATTGAAAGGAAATAACTTAAGGAAGGATGAGGCCTGGTGCATACAGAAGGTCTGGGTTCCGGACGGGCTGGGATCGGGTCCAGGTTTTCAGACGCACAGGTCTCCACCGGTGACACACTTCAGGTCCCGTGTGAGAAGGCGGAAGAGGTTGAACGTGACGGAGGCCTCGAGGCATCCCCGGGACTCCTCTGGGGCCCTCTGGAGCCGGTGCAGCCAGTGGTGCAGGCGGCCACGGGGTCTGGGTCCTGCCGTGGGCTGAGCCCGGACACAGGCCTGGAGCTCGGAGTGGATGTGGCGCAGCACACGAAGGGGCTGGTCCAGGACGACGCCCAGGGATGAGTCGGTCATGTTCCCCAGGACCTTCAGCGTCAAGTCTAGTTCAGCCTCCAAGGCCGCAGGGCGCTCCCAGGCCTGCAGTCGAATCAGGTCCCTGGTCCTGGGGAAGAGGCGAGAGCCACAGCTCCAGTTCTTCAGCGGGAGTGACTCTTCTAAGGCGTCCCTGGCCTTCTTGAAGGCTTCTAGCTCCCTCGGCGACAGAGATGGGAACTTGCCCACGTGGCAGCCCCTCCTGGTTGCGGGGGGCCTGGAAGTGGGGACAGGGCCCGCGCTGGTCAAGCCCAGCACCGCGGTCACCAGCACCACAACCCAAGCTGGAGCCATGGCCCGATCTCGACTGCTTCCCCGGCCGCATGGCTCCGCTTTTAGCCAGGCTCGCTGGGCAATCCCAGCTGATGTATGTAAAGTGAAAAGGCAAGTGGAAATTGGAATCTCCACTGGGCCTGAAAAGGCCTAAGCAGGCGGAGCTAGTCGCTGAAGCAGGTGAGCACGTGGGTGCGGGTGAGGCCGCCTGAGCCACAGAGAAAGGGCATCCGACGAGTCCCTTCCCTGGACTTGTGCCGAGAAGGAAAGAGAAACTGAAATTCCCTCGTAGGAGAACGCCTTGTTTCTGAGAAGTCCAGTGTCTGGACAACCGCATTTAGGACTCTCTGGGGCAGCCTTCAGCTGACTGTGGGGAGCCCCTTACCGAGGCCGAGGCAGGTGCCGGGGCGAGGAGTGTGGGCGAGGGTGCCTGAGCAGCAGAAGTGGCTTCCCTTTGAAGGCAGTCTTCGTTTGCTGTGGTCCCATTTGTGTACTTTTGCTTCTGTTACCCGTGCTTTTGGTGTCACATCCAGGAAATCATTGCCAGATTCACTGTCATGAAACTTTTCGCTGTGTTTTCTTCTAGGAGTTTTATAGTTTTAGATCTCACATTTAGGCCTTTAATCCGTTTTGAGTTAAGTTTTATATGTGGCGTAAGGTAAGGTCTAACTTCAGTCTTTTGCGTTTGGATCTCCAGTTTCCCCACCACCATTTGTTGAGACTGTCCTTGCCCTATTGTATGTTCTTGGTACCCTTGTTGAAGCTCATTTGATCATACATGCGAGGGTTTATTGGGCTCTATTCTGTTCCATTGGTCTTTAAGTCTATCTTTATGCCAGTACTACAGTTTTTTTTTTTTAATTTTTTTCAGTGTTTATTTATTTTTGAGAGACAGAGACAGAGTGTGAACGGGGGAGGGGCAGAGAGAGAAGGAGACACAGAATCCGAAGCAGGCTCCAGGCTCCGAGCTGGCAGCACAGAGCCCAACGCGGGGCTTGAATGCACTGCAAGATCATGACCTGAGCCGAAGTCAGACACTTAACCGAACTGAGCCCCCCAGGCGCCCCCCAGTACTACAGTATTTTGATTACTGTAGCTTTGTATATAATATGTTTTGAAATCAGGAAGACTGTTTCAACTATTCAGGGTACCCCCTTGAGATCCAGTATAATTTTTTTTTTTTTTTTGCCTTTTTAAACTGTGGGAAAAAAAGCAAAAGAAGAACAATATTTCATGACATGTGGAAATTACATGAAGTTAAAGTTTCAATGTCCATAAATAAAGCTTTGTTGGAACCTAGCCATGCTCATATCTGTGGCTGCTTTCAGGTTACAGCAGCAGAGTTGAACAGTTGTGTGGCCCTCAAAGCTGGAAATATTTGTTATCAGTCCCTTTATAGAAAATGTTCCCTGACCTATGGTCTGAAAGTCCAAGGCCAGTGGTCCCAGACCCAGCTGCTACTCTGGGAGAATCATGGATGATCTGGTTGGTGCGTGATGGCCCCACTCTCTACTTTCTTCTCCAGCTCACAATACAGATAAATAATATTTCATTTTCTTCCAACATCTTCATATCAGCTCTGTGGTCATACTGTGACAAGCCTGTGACAAGTTGTGAAAAGCAATTTCTCAGGGAAGAGGAGGAGTTCCCCTCCCCCCACCAGCTTTTTCTTTTTAAATTTTATTATTTTTTAAAATTTACATCCAAGTTAGTTAGCATATAGTGCAACAATGATTTCAGGAGTAGATTCCTTAGTGCCCCTCACCCATTTAGCCCATCCCCTCTCCCATAACCCCTCCAGTAACCCTCTGTTCTCCATATTTAAGAGTCTCATGTTTTGTTCCCCTCCGTTTTTATATTATTTTTGCTTCCCTTCCCTTATGTTCATCTGTTCTGTGTCTTAAAGTCCTCGTATGAGTGAAGTCATAGGATATTTGTCTTTCTCTGACTAATTTCACTTAGCATAATACCCTCTAGTTCCATCCATGTAGTTGCAAAAGATTTCATTTTTTTTTACTGCTGAGTAATACTCCATTTTGTGTGTGTGTGTGTGTGTGTGTGTGTGTGTGTGTGTGTATACACACACACCACATCTTCTTTATCCATCCATCCATCCATCGATGGCCATTTGGGCTCTTTCCATAATTTGGTTATTGCTGAAAGTGCTGCTATAAACATTGGGGTGCATGTTTCCTTTGAAAACAGCACACCTGTATCCCTTGGATAAATGCCTAGTAGTGCAATTGCTGGGTCATAGGGTAGTTCTATTTTTAGTTTTTTGAGAACCTCCACACTGTTTTCCAGAGTGGCTGCACCAGCTTGCATTCCCAAGATCCAGTATAAATTTTAGGACCATTTTTTTCTAGCTCTGCAAAAATGCCATTGGGATTTTCACAGGGATTGCATGGAACCAGTAGGTTGCTTTGGGTAGTATGGACACTGTTATAATATGAAGTCTTCCAACCCATGAACACAAAATATCTTTCCATTTATTTGTGTCTTCTTTAATTCCTTCCAGTAACGTTTTATAGTTTTCAGGGTACAAATCTTTCACTTCCTTGCTTGAGTTTATTCCTAATGATTGTATTCTTTTTGATGCTGTGAATGGGATTGTTTTTATAATTTCATTTTCAGATTTCTCATTGTGTATGTATAGAAGGCAACTGATTTTTTTTTTTTTTATGTGCTAGTTTTGTATCCTGCAACTTGGTTGAATTCATTTATTCAAACAGGTTTCGTGTGTGTGTGTGTGTGTGTGTGTGTGGGTGTGTGTGTGAAATCTTTAGGGTTTTCTACATAGAAGATCTTGTTATCTGAGAATAGATGCAATTTTATTTGTTTCTTTCCAATTGGGATGCCTTTTATTTCTTTTTCTTACCTAATTGCTCTGGCTGACTTCCAGCACTGTGTTGAACTCAAGTGGCAAGAGTAGGCATCCTTGTCTTGTTCCTGATATTAGAGGAAAAGCTTTCTGTCTTTTACCATTGGGTATGATGTTCACTGGGACACATAGGTTTTCTTTTTTTTTTTTAATTAAAACAATTTTTTAATGTTTATATTTGAGAGAGAGAGAGTGCGAGCAGGGGAGGGGCAGAGAGAAAGGGAGACACAGAACCTGAAGCAGGCTCCAGACTCTGAGCAGTCAGCACAGAGCCCGAAGCAGGGCTCGAACTCACAAACTGTGAGATCATGACCTGAGCTAAAGTCGGATGCTGAACCGACTAAACCACCCAGGCGACCCAGACACATAGGTTTTCATATGTAGCCTTTATTATGTTGAGGCAATTTCTTACTATTCCTACTTTGTTGAGTAGTTTTATCATGAAAGTGTTTTAAATTTTGTTAAATGCTTTTTCTCTGCATCGACTGAGGTGACTTTTTTTGTCTTCCATTCTATTAATGTGGCATATCTCATGGTAGTTGACTTTTGAGGCTTGCTCAGATTTGGTGTGAGTTTTGGGGATGTTGTATTCTTTCATCAGGAGGCACATGATGTTGAATTCTCTCCCTTTGGGAGAGTAACAGCCATTAGGACTGTTTAGTCCTCAGACCAGTCATTTCATTGGAAGTTGCAAAATGTAGATATTCCCATGCTAGTATCCCTTCTTTGTTTGGCAACTGGGATACTTCTATAAAAAGAAACTTCCTTGTGGTGGTGTGAATCTACATGTGTGATAAAATTGTATAGAACTAAATACACACACTCTCACACTAGTGCATGTAAAACTGGTACAGTGTGAACAAGATGTGTGGCTTGCTCCAATGTTAGTTTTCTCATTGTGATACTGTTCTGTAGTTGTGCAAGATGTCACCACTGAGGAAACTGGGTGCAGGGTACTTGGACCTTTTAGTATTATTGTTTCACAACTTCCTGCAAATTTATGATTATTTTTTTAAAAAGAAAATGAAACTTCTTTCAGCCAGTATTTGACTACCAGTAGTCTAGTTTAAGCGAGATCAACGCTTAATTATTTGCCTTTATTACCATTTTTTTTTTTAACATTTATTTATTCTTGAGACAGAGAGAGAGAGAGAGAGAGAGCATGAACAGGGGAGGGTCAGAGGAAGAGGGAGACACAGAATCTAAAACAGGCTCCAGGCTCTGAGCTGTCAGCACAGAGCCCGACGCAGGGCTCAAACCCACAGACCGTGAGATCGTGACCTGAGCCGAAGTCGGACGCTCAACCGACTGAGCCACCCAGGCGCCCCAATTATTACCATTTTTTTAGTAAGCTTAAGGCCCAGCGTGGAGCTTGAAGTGATGACCCTGAGATCAAAAGTCAAGTCATGGGCCAGCCAAGTGCCCCTCTTTGCCTTATTTTTACTTAATGAGCTGATGCCTTAGAATCCCCCAACAGTGACTGATTTTTTTAAAGTATGAACTCACTGATTTCAGTATGTTTTAAATATTTCAGTCCTATACATTATTGTTATTGGTGCTCAGATGCCTGTGTTTGGCCAGTAGGGACCTCTTCCAGTCCTTCCTGAATCCTTTTGACTTGACCCTGAAACCTTTGATTGCTTCCACTCTCTGGTAGGACAGGGTGCTCCAAGTTCATCTTGCACATTTCCTCCCCAGGTGCTGGAATCACGTTTCTCCAGAGAGGGGTCCTGTCACTGTGAAGTGACATTTGGAGACCACGGTCTGAGAGCTAGGGATGCTCACTGCCACTGGGATAGTCATTGCTTCTTGGTCTTTTTTATGAGCAGAGTTTACATTCTTTCCAGAACAAAATATGTCATAAGACCACACTTCTACTTTAAATTAAAATTCAGGACTATAGGATTTTTACTTAACCTCATCAGTCTGTTTTCCCCATGCTAAGAATCCTGGTTCTCAGGGACTCCAGGAAAGCCATCACGGATTTGAATTTCGCCACCTATGACGAGACCTAATGTTGACTGAGAGGAGGGAGTCATGGTGTGGGGTGGCCCCTTGGAGCGAGTCTCAGTTACACACCCCTCCCCTCTACTGAGTGGGGCATGACAGAGGCTCTGGTTTGCAACTTCACAGGTAGGGTTCACTCCTGGCTGCCCATGGTTCCATTAGTAAATGAGACATCAGAGATAGGTGAAGCCGGAGTGGGGGGAATGCGGTTCAAATGCAGTTCTGTACCTTCCCTGCCCCAGATGAGCCCCTGCTCCCAGTGTCAACCTTCCCAGCCTTTACACTTTCACCACACTTGCCCACATCCTTAAGCACCTCATGTCACATCGTTTCGCGTGGCTTTCTACGTGCTCGTCGTACTGTCCTCGCCAGCAGCTCGCTGTCCCCTCTTCCCACTGTTCTGAGATTTATCTGTGCTGATACGTTCATGCTAGTTTCACTTGTTCATCCATCCTTTTTCACCGCTGCACAGAATACCTTGCGTGACTGCCACAGCTTATCCTGGAGAGAAACATTTAGCTTGTTTCTAATTGTGTGCTATCGCAAATATTCTTACAGGTGTCTCCCGGGGCAAGAGTGTGTAAGAATTTCTCTAGGGCAGGCTTTTCTGTAAATGGCTGGGAAGTGAATATTTTCAGCTTTGGGAGCCAAGAGGCCAAAAAAAAAAAAAAAAAAAAAAAAAAAGTTAACGTCAGTACTTATGTAACGAGAGAGAAAAAATTTCCATAATTTTTTAAAAACTGAATTTTATGCCCATCGTGGGGCCTGAACTCATGGTCCTGAGATCCAGAGTCGCATGCTCTACCTACCGACTGAGCCAGCCAGGTGCCCCTCCATGAATTTTTTTAATATTGACTTATTCTTGAAAGAACGAGAGCCAGAGTGTGAGTGGGAGAGAGGCAGAGAGAGAGGGAGGCACAGAATCTGAAGCAGGCTCCAGGCTCCGAGCTGTCAGCATAGA